ACATTTATGGTAAACTATCACACACCAGAGACTATATAAAAATAAGAAATGGTGATCTGTTATTTTTTTTCTGTATGTGTGATAGTGAAACTAACCGTATTCAGAGAAATGTGGTTGTGAGATCTTACCATGATAAAAATATGCAGTAAAATCACGGTAGATAGAATATAATACCTAAAAACACTATTGAACACAGACGCCATTGTCTTACTCGTCAGTTATTTCGTACGATCTGTAGATAATAAGCAAGAACTCACCAAACTTCATGTTCTTCTTCGATGAAACTTGTCGAGTAAGAGGTCAGGTGATATAGCCCAAACACAAAATAGGTGATCGATTTCTGAAAAAAAAGATGGAAAGCGGATTATATTAAAATTAATAGAAGTTCATGATGCTCTCATTTTGTCATTTAGTATTTCCCATAAGTAGACGAAGTAGCAAATTGCCTTTCATTGTCATAGGTCCAGCCTTATTTAGCAGTCAAGACGACAGTACTATCATTGGAGATTAATTTTAATTATTGATAATCAACAGATGCAATCACATCAACAATGTTTCAATGTTTCTGGCAGCTTCCTTACAATGATAAGACCGAAGGATGCATCACAATTTTGATTGCGTTTAGATTGGACATCTGTTTTTAGAATTTATAGGCTTTAACATGGCGCTTTATTACCAGAAGTTGCACTTCAAGCCCAATCCAAACTTAATATTTTCCCAAAGAAGGCTTCAACATGGTACAACTGCTTTGCAATATTCTACAAACTCGTAATTCTAAGTGTCTACCTAAACACAAGTTCCTTAGGATCCGTCAAGCTTTCTGAAAAGTATTCCCCTAATAGCTGATAACATGACAGGAGCAGTCCTTCATTAACATTTCGTGATCGCTAAAAAATGTGATTTGAAGAAACATGCGGATATAAACTAGTGCGTCCAAGCGTATGTTGATGGATGATGTTCAAAAGTTTATTCAATCTGTTCTGACAACTTATGATCACCTTGTGTAAAAAGAGTAAATGAGATGAAAACTCTGAGATCTCAAAAAAGTCCGAAGCATTCCTAAGAGAGTCCAAGTCGAGATTAACAGCTATTTATTCCAGACTTTAAGAGGTGTACGACATTGTAGAGCAGTCATAATTGCTTGAGTCTTTCCAGAGAGACAAATGATGGTAAGAATGACCCAAAAGTGCAACTTTT